AAAGGGCATAAGTTGCTCATACGAACTCGGAATCGCACAAACTTGGCGGCGTTGGAAAGATCATTCCAAGAGCTTCCTAACCATATCGGTAACTACACCTAAATCATCCTGAACTAGTAGTTATGGCCATCTGAAGTTGACCAAAAACTCAACTTTAACTTACTAACAATTTTCCAGATTTCCTTATACTTTCCAAATATAACTATTTCCAGATTTTAAGCTTCTTTCTAGTTGCGAGATATTACATATGCAATGAATTATGATGTTTTTTTATAAAAAAAATATTTGATAGCGAAGCACAATATGCAATGGATCATATAATTGTGTTAAAGATTGAACTCAAATAAAGTATTACTTAATTTCTTAATACAAATAAACTTTCGGTTAAAATTATTAGATTCTATGAAATTCGTACCAAATCACTAATCTTTGCCTCTTTCTGGTAATTTTATTTTTCTACTTATGTTCAAATTGCATTTTCAAATTTTAGTAAAAAATGGTACTCAATATTTGTGTTGATGAAAAATAACACATAATCTAAGCTCAGATAGAACTAGAACATTAATGATTGAGGTGTTAGGCCGATTGCAAAGTCACTGATTACGTAAACAAATCTAGAAGAGACAGCCTTTACTAGTCGAAAAATTGGAGGAACAAATGCTAATTGCCTCCCTTGTGATAATTAAATGGCTAAATTAAGTATTCATTGTTGCTAATTATTTGTTCACTTTTGAATTGACATATTTATTAAGAAAATAATAATTGACATTGTGAATTTACTATTTCACTCCTATTAATTGTGAAGTGAATGAATTAATATTTAAAAATTTCAAAAAAATTATCTTTTTCAAAGAAATTAATTGAGAATATAATAGATAAAAAAATTATACTTTCTTAATTTGTCAAAAATAAACCAATAAAAAGAAACAAGTAAAAAAATAAATTGAATAAGTAATTAGAAACCGAGGAAATAACTCAAACTTTGCAGTTTTCCAATTCCAAAAGGTATGCGCGGGACCCATTTGACCAACGACTAATTAATCCTTCTTTCCACTTCGAAACTTCTTCTCTCCTTCGTCCCAGCTTTACTACCCTCGAAAAATTTTAATATGCATGAGGCACAATCAATCTTAAGCCGTGACAAGTAAAGAAGAAATGATCAAACGAAGTCGCTAAAGGCAGGCATTCATCCTTTCATTTGATCAAAGACATCAACACTAGTTGTATAAGGATATTCTTAAATTTTGACATGTCTAGTGGGTCCCTTTTTGTCAGCATACTCTCCCCCTTCATTTCCTCATTCCATCTTTGCAATTCATTACTTACTACTTCTTTTTCTTTTTCACTCGTATTTTTCACAACTCTTTCGACTCCTTTCTGCGGTTACTAATTAATTTGATTAGCTCTTCCTTTTAATCATGGTGCCCTTTAACTAAATCAATAAAGAAAAAATTCTTCGTACCCCTCAATTAAATCAACTAAAACATAGTTAATCCTAGTACCTTTGAAAAAAACAAATTTAAATTTTTTTTATTTTACATCTCAAAAAATTATTGAATCAAACCCAAAGAGGACTTCAAATAGAAAAATTTCGAACAAAAAATTCACATAAAATTTAAAATTTCAATAAAAGGTGTTCAACGAATATCAAAAAGTCAAACTAAATAGATTCTAACTAATTTATTTTTTTTTACTTGAAAAGTCAAACTATAATTTTCAAGACTTTTAATTGATACGAAACTTCACAAGTAGTTAGTTATGTTGTATAATGACACAAGAATGTGAAACATCTTCTTTCCAAATTTTAACTTTTTGTTAAATATCATAAGTTACGACTAATTTTTAATTCTTTAGAAAAGACCATTTTATAACCACCAACACTGCCATTTACGTCAAAATATACTGCAATCGATATTTTAAAAAAACTAGTATTTTAATGTATTCATTATTTTACCTTTTTAATTAATTTAAAGATTACGTATTTCCTTATTTGGTCATAACATTAAAAATGAAGTAAATCTCATTTTCAAGGTTATATTTTAATTCCCCCATATATTTTAAAATTTTGAATTAAACACACATATCTTTATATCTATCCATATGTTTTAGACAATAAAAATCAAGGTAACATATTACAATTGATGGCGAACATTTTGTTAATTTGAAAGAGCCTATCAATATAAATGACTTACATTAGATATGCAACAATACTAACTTATCATATCCCTTTAATATCTACCAAGACAAACGTAATGTATAGTAATAGTAAATTGGGTCTCGTCACTCTAGAAGGTGGTTTAATGAAAGGCATAAAGCCAAATTTTAAAAAAAGAGATCTTATGTTTATTTGATTAAAATTTGGATCTATTTTCTGGTAATTAATCATAATACACAAATAACTACACATAAATTATTGTAATATATTATTAGAAATGATTTTTTTTTTTTTATAATCATATTATTAGAAAGGGTTATAACTTAGGTTTGATTATAATTTATAAAATTCTTTTTCATAGTCAGTTTTATTATAGAAAAAGTAAAAGTATTTGAAAAAAATAGAATTAATATTTCACTTGATTGATTTTTGATTTTTGATTTTTGATTTTTGATTTTAAATTTTCAGGATTGCAATCGTGACGATGTTTATATAAATCATGTAGAAGCACAACAAAAAGGGACTTCGCCTTAACCCCAACTATACATCAGCGATCCTTGCAAAAAAAGGGAATGCTTAAGCATGTCACTGCTTTATATTCCCGCATATTTAGAGACTAAACAAATTAGCTTACAAAAAAATTGATTTTGTCGTATCTTATCCTTATGCTAGTTAATTGCATCTTGTCCCACTCCTCATTGACTTCTCTGTAGCAGCCTCAGCAACATTATGATCCTTACACCGAATGGGAATAGCAAACGCAAAGATGAACTCTCCAGTGTTGTCCCTGGCTATGCCTCTTATTCCAGCCTTTTCGTTATGCTCCAGAAAATTTTCATCTGTGCTAAGTTTAATCATTCCTTGTTCTGGTCTGTTCCAAACCACAATCTTGCTATTAGTACTTGGTGTCAAATTTTCTACCACTTGACATTGATGATTCCTCCGTAGCAGCTTTGATGTTCCAACTTATTTATTGCTCCATTCCTCTAAGATAAAAACTTGTTTTCCTGCCATATCTACAAGAACACCTCGGCTTCCACAACTCCCAGCAAATTAATATTGGAATCGATTGAATCATCATTCTGTGTATTGCATTATGTACATGTGTCTGCCACCAGTCTTGAAGGAACACTTTAACTTGCTTGCTTCTGTACACGACTCCCAAAGGTTGACCAAAAAACTTACACAAATATTTTGCAGGCTCACTGTCAATGAAGAGGCGCTTGATAGTTTCTGGCATAGTGATTGAGTGTGTTAATTAGATTATCTTTTTTACTTATTTAATATTTCGTATTTACTATTAAGTACAAAAAAAATAGATCTTAATCGTTGCTATTGTAGTGATTGTTACGCTTTCGAACACATTCAAAGTTAAAGGAATTTTTTTTAATTCTTTGCTAATTTAATTTGTTTGAGCTTGAATTTTGCATCTTCAATTCTTCGAGTTTTTGAACTTGAAATGTCAAGAAGATTCTTAAAGAATTGAAGATGATAAATTGAAGTATGTTATGTGATTATCAGAAGGCAATAATGATAGATTTTGGATGGAAAGTTCGAGACGAAGAGCGCCAGCAAACACGAAATAAAAAACATGTTTTTAAGGAGAGAATGGTCTTGAAGATTTAGAGTTGTCGGAACATAGGAGTGATTGATGCTCCAAATTTGGTAACGCTAGAATATGAAGGATATCTTATTCCACAACTTAAATTTGCAAAAGAATTAAGCGAATTGAAGAACTTCATTGTTTTTGATTCCCAGGGGCGTACCCACTTGGGTAAGGGGTGTCAAGCGAGGTCAAATTTTAGTTTAAAAAATATATATACAAGTATTGACATATCTTGACACAAGTTAGGCATTTAGTATAATGGTTAAGTTATTATTAAAAAAAAATTGAGGTCATGTGTTCTAGCTCTACTATCCTTCTGCATCTGGCACTGGTGATTCATGTAGGTACACTTTTGATTCCTATAGGTACAATTTAATCTTGGATCCGGTACTGTTGATTCCTATAGGTACAATTTGGATGCTGAGTTGTTTTGTTCATATTTGAGTTTTACATTTTTTTCAAAGAAAAGAAAAGTCAAAGCATTACATTTATCCAAAGGAAAATATAATTCTCATTTCATATTTGACCTTTGATTCATTCTCTCTTTATATTGTCTTACTAAGCCATAGGACAAAAGAAAGAGGCAGGTTAATCTCTTTCGTATTCATTCTTTTGCAGATATTTGTTCCATTAGCACAGTATTTAAAGCCGTGCAAGGCTTGCCAATGCATTAGAATGGGAAAGGAAATGGGATTTGTAACCAAACAAGGTAGCAAGATAGACTATGAGTTGTTGGCTTCAGGTAGCCTACAGAAAGTGCGACATGCCTTTGCCAGGATACTCTTCGATACCATATATCCATAATACTGGCGAGGATGTTACCTAAATTCTGTTAGCTATAGTCATGTGTATTTTGCAACAGAATGTAGTAGCAGTTACAATTTTCCAGGGGGATAAGAAATAGCTTATACCAGTAAAAACAGTTGTACTATTAGCTTTGATAAAATATTGTGTATACTGTCATCATGTATTTGCTGGTGTTTGTTACAAATTTTATATTAAATCAAGAAAAGAAATATGAAATGAGAACCATGGAGTGGGGAAGCAACATGTTCTCATTATAGATTTTGACATATTATTGTAAATCCAGAAAACGTGGTTTTACAGACCAAGTAATACTTTTGAAACACAATAATGCCGAGGATGATTCATCCTCCAAAACTAGTACTATCAAATATCAAACGTCAAAACTTTGAATTGAAAGAATTTCCAGTTCCCTTCTAGCTCTTAATGCCGAACAAGAAGAAGATATTATGTAATAATCAATGTTTTCTTCACTTCTGGACAGGAGGAGCAGCACCACCTGTGGTTGGCCTGCAAAGTAATGAACATAAGCATCAGTTCAAGATATTATAATAGTAAGTATACTACAAAGAGTATCTCTTGCTTGATTCAGCAATAGCAAATACTTAAAAGGTAAAGGAAGAAGACACTTACAGGCCAACGAAAACTTTGAAAGAATCATAGATTCCCCATTGTGCTCCAGTCAGTGTTCCAATCATGAATATACGAAGGGGAAGACCACGAGTACAGAGACCCCAGAGGCCTAGTTTATTTACAGCCTGCAAAAAGGGCAAAAAAAGAACAAGTCCATTGTTCAGACTTAAGAATGAAATGGAATATTAGAACAGAGGACACAGTTCAATGTTTACTCACATCACCAACAGTTGCCCCCTTGGCGTTGTTGAGGAAAGAAACTAGGTTATCAGCAGGGTGTGACACAACAGCACAAAGAATACCAGCCAAATATCCACCAGCAAAGCTCACACCAAGCTGTGTAGTATTGCTGCATTGGTCTTTTGGGGTTGGAATGGCATGTTTATAGAGTTGTTCTACTATGGTTTCAAATGATGCAAACTTCATCATGGTGTCTGTAGAATAATCAAAGTGAGATTCAGTCAATCTAGCTAGTGTCCATTTTCCACAGCAATGGAACAATCAAGAATAAGTAATGAAACAGATCCAAGGCAGTTCGACGAATAAAAGTTATACTCCTTGTAAAACACTCCTATTTAGTTTGTTCCAAAAAAGAATGAAACTTTTACATTTTTTTGGAAAATCTTCAACGTTAAACTTCTCATTTAACATTTAATGACATGCTTTTGTAGCCACAGAAATGTCATGATATGTTTATGAGCACAAATTCTACTAGTACTCTTAAATACTAGTAGAAACTGAATGACACATTTACAAAGGTTTCCAAGTTTATAATAAAACAAGAGTATCCAAATGAAAAATCAGAGGAAATATGTCAGCTTACATGGAATTTGTCGTCCCCATAGAGGTACAATCCCCTTGTAAAGCCTGTAACACAAACATTCAAATTCCAAATTTTCGTCAGCATATAAGAAAAACCCTCACATTGACAACAACAAATTTGTTCAACATAAAATAGGCATTACCCCGCAGCTCCTTCAGCCTTGACAAATTTGGGAAGTCCATCAGACAAGCCTCTAGCAAATCCAGGCTGAGTTTGAACACGAACTTTGACGGCCTCAAATGGGCAGAGAGCAACATCAGCAATAACTTCAGCAGAAGCAGAACCAGCAAGGTAAATCAAAGTTTTGTACTTGACAGCATTCTCCGCGCCAGCAAGATCTGAGTAGTACTTCTTGAAATATTCATAGAATCCGTATTTGCATGCTCCTTGTGCACTGTAACCAAGGAAAGTAGGTGCCCAACCCCTAAATAATCCTCTAATGCCTTGTTCCTTAAGTAAAATTCCGAAACCAGAGGATATACTCTTGAACTTTGCAGGATCAATCTGATAAATCAAACATTTCAATCATAAAAACATTTAATCCATCACTAATCCAATCTATTCTGGAAATTTGACAGTTTCTTTTTCATTTTCATTTTCATTTTCTCTTTCGAATTTCAGATCAACAAATGAAAGAACAGAATGGAAGAGCAAAAATCACAGACATGAAACATCTGTCAATAGAAAGATTATAACTTTTTAAAATTAATAGAGGATTGGTTGATTAAGGTTGGATCAAAAGAAACACACAAAATCCAGTCTAAAATGAAAAAATTTATGCAAGTCTAAGCATAGTCTTTTCATGATGTTCTTTAATTATAATTTTAAGAGTTGAAGTTATGTACAACAACAGTAATAAAAAATAAATCGAGACTAACTTTGCGATTCAAGTGGTTATAATAAATTAGCACTCTACTTTCAAGTTATTTGTTGTTGTAGGTCAACTTAACTTGATATGCACGTGACATATTAAACGCCAAGGTTAATTAGTAATACTCAAAAAGTTAGAAAATAGTAAAAGGTATCCTCTGCTATAGTATCCCTAATATATGTATACCTGCATGTTGCACTTGACAAGATCAAGAGGAGTAACTGCCGTGTGTGTAAGACCACAGCTCAAAATACCCCCGATCGTGCTGGCTGCGTAAAACGCCGGTGTGTACATTTCTACCTTATAACCTGAACCCTCCTTTGGTGCTGCAATCAAGAAATTCTTCTTATCCATATTGCCATGATGATTGTCCAAAGCAGTAGTGAGATTCTTAGAAGAATTAGCTGATGTTGTACTGTAAAGATAATTTGGGATCAAAGATTTTCTATCAGAAAACGCCATATTTTCGCGGTAATTGTTTGAAAGGGCAGAGGAAAATGAACAAGAATCTCTCCAAGGAAGAAGGAGAGTTGAAGATGGCTACGTTAGGTGAAAGCTAGCTGTTTGATCAATTTATTGGCTTACTTTTTAAGCGTGACTTTTAATTTGGACCAATTTATAAATCAAATCAAATAAGGGTGGCGTCCTTGGCTCTTCCTTATTGGTAAGATGCCTCATACTTGGTCTGCGTTGAATTTTATTTATACATTGACCTTCTTTGCTTATTTTTTAAAAAGTTTTGTCAATTTATTTATTGGTTTGGAGGCCCTGTTTAAGGAGGAAAGGACACAAAGGGATGTATAGAAGCCAAGGACATATTTCCCTCATACTATTTGTTGTTTATGCTTTTTCTTCGAGATAGATCGATAAGATTTTGAGTTTATAAATTCTAAATATATATCTACTGAATTTCTTAATATAAATAGATTTTCGGCCGAAACTATTAGTACAAAATATATTTATTCTCTGCCTCTAATAATTTTATTTTATACCTATTCTCAAATCATTTTAAAAAACTTTTTAATGAAAAATAATATTCAATATGATTGAGGTTAGGCAGATTGTAAAAGTCATTGATTACGAAAATAAATCTAGAAGGGACAGCCTTTACTAGTCGAAAAATTGTAGGAACACATGCTAATTGCCTCCCTTATGATTAAATGGCTAAAATTAAGTAGTTCAAACTTTGCACTTTTCCAATTTCCAAAAGGTATGCGCGGACCCATTTGACCAACGACTAATTAATCTTTCTTTCCGCTTCGAAACTTCTTTTCTCCTTCGTCCCAACTTTACTACCCTCTATTTTTATTTGATTTAGCAAATTAAGAGAGTTTTTTTTTCAGATTTATTCTTAGAATTAAATAACTACATAAAATAATAGTGATTAAATTTAGAATTTCAAAAATATCATTAATAAAATTAATTTAAATAAAATATATATCTAATATAAAACGAATATATCATACTAACATGAGTCAAGCTATTATAAAACGAAGGGAGAACTAATACTGATTCATGGTCTTTCCAACACTGTTGACAATTGCGTGTTCCAACTTTGTTTTCGCTTAATTGAAAATTTGTCAATAGTACATGGAATATACATGCCATAAAGTTTGAGGGAGTTCTTCTGAGTCATTTGAGAAGTCTTTTGCAAATTTTTTAAAACTTGTTTTAAAAATTGAGTATTTGAGTATGAGGATGAGGAGAGTTGAGTTTTATTTTTTCAAAATGAATATATGGGAACTAAGTATTCGCAAGAGCAAATGTTTTTATATTTAAAACGAGGGGAAACCTTGATTTCCAAATGAGTTCAATTCATGAGGAGTTTTGAACACTATCTCTTCTAAGAGAATCTTTTGAGTAATAATCTCAAAGTTTGAGGATGAGGAAATATTTTCAAACATATGAGCATGAGTTGTATTATTGGGAGTAGTATTGAGCACCGATATGGGCGAGACATTGTATCATCACATAGCTCATAGTGATGGTTGTCGATTAGAGAATCTCGCAAATAAGAGTAAAGAGTTTTTATTGTATTTTTAAATACATTGAGTTATTATCTACTGTTTTAAAATATTTCTTTACATTGCATCTTTATTAGTGCTTTTTATATCGTATTGAGTCGAGTCCCAGAGTTGTTTTGGTGAGTCTCCTTACTTCCGGAGAATCCCCATTTATTTATTTCAGTTTGGTTTTTGTTATTAGAGGTATATAGACAAGTAGTAGTTGAGTAGTCTTTTTACCATTTTCTTTGTTGATGGTAAGTTGAGTGTCTGCTTCAGCACAAACTGTTCCGAAACAAGCTGAAAACGTGTCTGCTTCAGCGAAAACTGTCAAAGTAGAACAAAAGAAACAAATTTTTAAAATTTTTTCTGAGACACACTGAAGCAGGCACGTCAACGGAGACGTACCTACTTCAGCACAAACTGTCTCTTATATAATAAGAGGATAATGCAAATGATATTTAAAAAAAGCTACTAGTATTTTAATGTATTCATTATTTAAAGATTATATATTCCTTATTTGGTCATGATATTAAAAATGAAGTAAATCTCCTTTTCAGATTACATTTTAATTTCACCTAATATTTTAAAACTTTAAATTAAACCACTCGTATAAAGTTTATCAATATATTTTAAAAAAGAGATCTTATGTTTATTTGATAAATTTTTAAATATCATTTTTATAATAGATTACGAGACATAAATAATCATGTATAGATTATTGTACGTTATATATTAACAAAAGATAGTGTTCTAGGTAAGTTTTTGTTGATTATAGTTTTGATAACTTTTTCAATAGAATCATTGTTATTAAGCTATCAAAATTATTTAGAAGTAACAGAAGTATTTAAAAATAGAATTAAGACTTCACTTGATTACTATGTATCAATTAGAATATTATTTCTACTTGTATAATATTTTGTATTACATTTAAGTACAAAACATAAGTCTAAATCATTAATATTATAGTGATTGTTACGCTTTAAAAGACCTTCAAAGTTGAGCGAATATCTCTTTTAAATTTAACTATCTAATAAGTTTAAGCTTTAAATGTCTAAGAAGATCAATGTTAAGACATAATGATTGATTAAAGATTTACAACAATTTATTAAGAAAATTTCAATATACGTTTATATTTACATCAAGTTCAGACTCAAGATTTCAAAACTGTAAGATTTGAATTCAAATTCAACCTCGAAAAACTATGAAGTACAAGGGAATTTTAGTCTGAATTATTGAAAATAATAATTATAGCTCCTTAAAAAAAAATCGAGACGTCGTGCCTCGAACCCTCGATCCCTTGGAGGAGGCTCAAGGGGCCGTGCCTCCCCTTACCCCTCTACCCCCCGGAGGAGACTTGAGGCGTCGTGCCTCGAAAACCCTCTACCCCCCGGAGGAGGCTCGAGAGGCCGAGCCTCGAAATCCCAACCCCCTGAAGCAGGCTCGAGGTTCCCTACCACTCCGAAGGAGGCTCGAGGCGCCATGCCTCGAACCCACCCCACCCCTACCCCTCTTCTACCCCCGGGAGGAGGCTCGAGGCATCGTGCCTCGAACCCCCCCCACTACCCATCCTACCCCCGGGAAGAGTATCGAGGCGTCGTGCCTCGAACCCCCCCCCCCACCCTCATCTACCCCAGAGATGAGGCTCAAGGCACCGTGCCTCGAACCCCCCCCCCCCCTTCATCTACCCCCGAGAGGAGGCTCGAGGCGTCGTGCCTCGAACCCCCCCCCCCCCATCTACCCCTGAGAGGAGGCTCGAGGCGCCATGCCTCGAACCCCCCCCATCTACCCCCGAGAGGAGGCTCGAGGCACCGTGCCTCGAACCCCCCCCCCATCTACTCCTGAGAGGAGGCTCGAGGCGCCGTGCCTCGAACCCCCCCCTCCTCTACCCCCGAAAGGAGATCGAGGCCCCGTGCCTCGAACCCCCCCCTCTACCCCCGAGAGGAGGCTCGAGGCGCTGTGCCTCGAACCCCCCACCCCTACCCCTCTTCTACCCCCCGAAGGAGGCTCGAGGCGTCGTGCCTCGAACCCCCCTACTACCTCCGGAGGAGGCTCGAGGCGTCGTGCCTCGAACCCCCCCACTACCCCACCTACCCCTATCCCCTATCCCCTCTCCCCCTCTACCCCCCGGAGAAGGCTCGAGGCGCCGGGCCTCGAACCCCTCCACCCTCTCTACCCCCCCACCTACCCCTACCCCTCGGAGGAGGCTCGAGGCGTCGTGCCTCGAACCTCCACCATTCCTACCCCTTCTACCCCCTACCCCCGGAGGAGGCTCGAGGCGTCGTGCCTCGAACCCCCACCCTTTCTACCCCCCTACCCCTCGGAGGAGGCTCGAGGCGCCGTGCCTCGAACCACTCCCCCCCAACCTACGCCCTTAACCCCCCTCTAACCCCTGGAGGAGGCTCAAGGCATCGTGCCTCAAACCACCCCACCCCCTACCCCTCTATAGCCCCTCCCCCCGAAGGCTCGAGGCACCGTGACTCGAACCCCCACCCCCGCTATTAAGTGATCAAGGATAAACTGAAAGACTTTTTATTATGCTAATAAAATAAGAAGTCCAAATCTAAGGACTGAAGGAAAATAGAAAGATTTGACACATTTAGGATACAAAGATGATTGTGCACTTCATCAGCTTTATTAGGGGGCACTTTCTTCAAAAGCATTAGTTTTGTTTTTTACCTGCAGTAATGAAATTATAGTTCACAAACCATTGAAAAAAATTTATCGTTCCAAGTAAAGTAGTAGGTAAGAAACTACAAGAGAAATTGGACATACAACTTATTTAAAAAAGAACAAAAACTATTATTTTTCAAAAGATTAAAACAGAAATCAATTGAAAATATTTAAAGAGTTCGGGGTTCATATTAACATTTTAAGAAGGGTTTGAAAACACTCGAAACGCCCGCTAACATGCGGTTATCCGATAATTAACTAACTATTTGGCTAATTAAAAAAAAATCATACTTGAGTAAAATTGAAGAAATGAACAACATAAGACCTAAAACTATCTTCTCTTAGGGGAGAAAGGGGAAATATTGAGAAATATTACTTAAGTAAAACATACTAAATATAATTTTTTAAAACAAGTAGGAAATAGATTATTTTACTTAATATTAAGTAGTTAATTCACGTCCTTTGGGGAATTCAATTTTCTGAAAACTTAAATCAATTCAACAAATAACACATAATAAAAGTTAAATAGATAGGAAAGAAAATTTGGGCCCAAGTCTGGATCTGTCCGCCTGGACCAGCACTTGGGCCTAAATTCAGCTTTGGACCTATGGTCCATTTACAGCTGTCCTAAAGAAACTAAGATAAGCTAATTTCTCTGTTGCGCTTTAGGCCCAATTCTTGCATTTTGTACCTGTCTTAATAACTAACACATAATAATAATAATAATAATAATAATAATATAATGACAAAAGAGGGCTTAGGCCCAAAGCAACAAAATGCAAAGCTGAAATTGAGGATTTAGCCCATTTTCAATGCAATACAACGTATACGGCTGATGTATATCGTTGTATATTGTGCATATCCAACCTTTTAATCCGCTCCGAACACCTGTACATCAACTTTAGGGAACCTATTCTTCGATTAGGTTGACTCGGTTGACTCGATAAAGGGAAGCATTGGGCCTCCTTATCCTATTTCGAGATGCAAGGGAGAACATGTGGAGTCCAAATGACTCAGTCCGAGAGAGTTCATGCATAAACAAAATAAAATATACGAATTAAAAGCTCATCATGGAATCTCGGATATAATTTAGAAGAGTCAATGAAACCAAAGCAAACAGGCATAAACGTATTTGATGCAACACTTTGTATCCAACATATTTGATGTAACAAGCATAAAAGAAAGAAAAATCAGATGCTACTTGGAGAAACACACTTAGTGGTTAAAATTTAATAAAGAGGAATGTGAGAGTAATACTGCATTAACTGTTATTAACATAGAAAAAGGAACAAAAACATACTAAACTCCATGAAATAAATGAACACTAACAGGAGAAATGGTGGCATCTTATTGAGGCAGTAACATAAGGGAGAAATAATTGTTTTCTAAAAAGTTGAGATACACTGGAAACAACAGGCAACCCCCCAAAGTAAGTAAGGATATGCTTACGAATATAGCATTCGAACAAAGGCAAGTAGCAAGCTAAAAACACGAGAGCGCATAAAAGACTAATAAAACAACTAAGTTAGCAAATATCATTTGAGGAGAAGAACAAGAAAACAACCAAGGCATGGCATGTACGGACAGAAACAGAAAACATATGGATCAGAACAACTAAGTTAGCAAATATATGAAAGAATGTACTAGCAACATATTACTTGGAAAAAAGAGAAAAGCAAACACATTATTAATCACATTTTGAATTAAAACAGTTCAACACATCAAGATTAGATGCATATTTAGAAATGAACTAACAACAATCCTATATGCCAAGTTGAAACAGGATAAGGTGAATGACAAACAATATCATGTCTAACTGTAACCATAGTAGCATTTAATTAACATGAAGCCAACTATTAACATTGGAATTTAAACATCTATCAAGAATTCAAGTAAGAATCAACCCTATTGAAGGGAAGATCCATGACCAAAATTGATCACTTACTGCGTCATGGAGCTCGTTTCGAGCAACAAACATGTGATGTCAAGCAGGAATTAACGAATGATAACATGAAAGTACTTAAAAGGCTAACATGCTCTCATTATAAACAAAGAAGCTAGCAGATTACCAGATCATTTCTTGTCACACCACACTTCAAATGAAAATAAACTCACACGGAGATGTCATCTAAATAATCGCTCACAAATAGCTAAACTCGAAACATATCAGATCACTGCCCAGAGAAAGTTTGAAACCAAAAAATGATCTGCGAAAATATCGACCACCAGATATGGGACCAGAACACCAGAAATCAGATAAAGACATTGACACTGATGAGTATTCAAAGAACCCTCCAACCAAAACAAATAGGGCTAAGCAGATAAGTCTCAAAATAAAAGAGCAGATATAACACCATTCATAACAAAGAAGAACAAAAGAAAGCTAAAGAAATTCATCAAGAAAATATAGATCCGTCACATCATAATTGGAAAAGAAATATAACGTAAGTGAGGGAAGAGGCATTACCTCTTTTCAGGCAGTGAGCTGAAACGAGACAAACAAATTGTAAGCGAGCTCTAATATCACCACGATGAGATTCCGGCGGAAAATTGATTTCCAAACCAGCAGACCCAGCTACAGGGATATTATCAACCGAAATCTTTTGCCTATCTATGGTTTGTAACTTTTCCGTTCTTCTTCTCTTTTCTCACTGTCTCTTGTTTCGTTTTGAAGACAAAAACTAAAGAAATCACCAACCCCATAAATATAGAAGATGGGGGATCCTTTTATAGAGGGGAGATGAGGGTTTGAAATGGGGGGAATCGGAATCATTTTGAATTTGGAATTCGAATTCTTCTTAAGGAGAACGTTGGAGGGCAACGGAAAATTGATAGGAGCCGCACGATTTCGAGCACATGAGATGGCGACACGTTGGACGAATCTCCAACGGTTCTGTGCGAGAGGATAAGGACGGGACTGAGAGAGCACGGACACGCGCGAGCTGGGCTCGATCGGTTCGCTGTTGCTGGACTGGTTCGGTTTCTGGTTCTTCGCGCCTGTGTTCTCGCTGGGAAGAAGAACGAAGTGGGGGCGGTGGGTCTGTTTGGTATTGCTGTACGTATTATTGGTGGGCTGGGTTTCTTTGGAAATGTTTTGGGGTGGGTTTGCTAAAAAGAATTGACCCAAAAAGGTTGTTGAATTGGGTTGGCTGGAAAAGTGAACTGGGTATCCATTCCACTCTATTCAAGTTTCATCTATGCAAAGTCATAATTGGTAAACAATGAATATTTAATGTCACAAAAATATTGAATTTTTATTTGAAAAGTGTACCACAAATCATTCAATTAGAAAATAATAAATGATTAAAGTTTTTAATTACTCAATTATTTCAAAAATATTGAAGCAAATTTATATCCGGACAATAAAAAGTCACGTGCCATTGTTCAATGCTCCAAATAATTAAATATTTTGAGTTTAAATTCAAATTTCAAAACACAAGTAACTAACCTTAGTTCTATAAAAATACAAAATTCCATAACCGACATCTTCCAAAAAAAAAAAATTGATAGAAAATTTTATATTAATAAAAATAATAAATTTTTATTCATATTAAATTCAAAATTTTCAATAAAATTAAATATTTTGAGTTTAAATTTTATATATTATTTTTAATTCAATCTAAAGTATATAGAGAAAAATGGGGCAGTTTTAAATTTTTAAATTTTAAATTCTATGAAAAAAAGGGCAGTTTTAACTTTTAAATTTCAAATTCCGTAGAAAAAATGGGGCAGTTTTAAATTTTAAATACGACAGCTTTTGCTTGAATGTGTATCAAATATAGAAAAGTGGGGTAGTTTTAAATTTTAAATACGACATTTTAGTTTTAATGTGTATCAAATATATATAAATAAAATGTAGAAGATTATTTGAAAACTGCCGCAACTCCCCTCACTTCTCATTTCTTTAAGGGGCAGTTTTTTCCTCCACCATTTACCCCCTCTATTTCTTTATCTATATATTATGAATTTATATTCCACAATCATCCAAATAATTTGAGAACGAGCATATTATAGATAAGATGAGAGTATTTCTGATTTTGAATACTTCAAATTAAGTTATGTTAAGAATTTAGACGATGAACTATGATTATATATTTATTTATTTATTTATTTTCATAAATATTCTATTATAACATAAAGGTGTTAAATGTTAGCATTCTCTCTCATAAACTTTACAGTATCATCTTATAATAAGTTAAATTTTGAAATTGTCAATAATTCAATATTTACAATTATATTTATCAATTAATCGCGCAACGCACGGATACACATATACTAATTTTTAATAAGAAAAATAATAATTAGAAATGCATTAAATACATTTTTCAAGTCTTTTAATTTATACAAATTTCATAATTCTTTTCTCTTGTATAGTGACACAAGAATATTTAACATCTTCTTAGAAAATAAAGTTCTTTAAAAAAAAAAAAAATTAAAAAAAATTGTATTCACCCCACCAACCTACACCTCCCATAATATGTACTCTCTCCGTCTCATTTTATGTGAGGTAGTTTGACTCGGCACGAAGTTTAAGAAAAAAATGAAGACTTTTAAAACTTGGTCCAAAATGAATGATAAAAATTTGTGTGACTGTAAATCATTTTATTAAGGGTAAAATAGACATTTTATAGTTAAATTGTTACTTAATATAGAATAGAAATGCGTCATTTTTTTAAAAAACTTACTAAAAAGGAAAGTAAATCACATAAATTGGGGTAGAGAAAGTATCACATATAAAATAAACAAGTAATAAATTTACCTATTTTTTAAAAAAATATTTTTCTTTGTACCAAACAAACCAATTAAGTAATAAAATCATGGGTCAAAATTGACCTTTTGCCAAAAACAAAAAAAAAGTTAAAAATGAAAAACGAAAGTCGTTGGTTTCACCAATTAGGTTATAGTGGAGTAATAATTAATTCTTCAATCTTAATTAGAAATTTTAAGTTCGAGTTTCTTGACTATGGTGTCCTAAGGAACACTTTACCTTACAAGATGAGACTTTTCCAGGTGAATTCAAATTAAGGAGGAAAAAAAAAAACATGATTCCTCGCTTAAATACACAGAATTCGTTTTTAAAAAAGATAATTTGGGAAATACAAGTGTAGTTAGGGAGTATGCTTGTTCCCGCGTCTTTGCCTCCAAAACTTTCAAACTCAGCCCTGTTTCACTTTCGCTTCAAATCCAGTTCCTTCTTCGCTTTCTTCACTTCATCAACGCCATTACTAAGAGCAGCAGTTCCTTCTTCTTTTACTCAATTACTCAAACAATGCAAGTCTTGTATCAAGGCAAAACTTGTCGTCGCCGGCGTCTTTTCACCCTCAGCAGACCCCACAACATGGTCGTCTCAGGTTGTGTTCTATTGGAACAACCTCATCAAACGCAGTGTTATTCTCCGACATCACGAGAGTGCTCTGGTCCTCTTCCGCGAAATGCTGAGACTTGATTGGAACCCAGATGGCTACACATACCCTTATGTCCTCAAGGCATGTGGTGAGCTTCGGTTCCTCCTTTGCGGTGAATCTGTTCATTCCCTGATTCTAGCATCTGGGTTGGACTCCAATGTGTTTGTATGTAATGGTGTTATTGCTATGTATGGGAAATGTGGGATGTTGGGTCATGCACGGCAGGTGTTTGATGAAACGGTTGTGAGAGAAACTGCTGATGTTATTTCATGGAATTCGATAGTGGCGTCTTATGTACAGAAGGATGAGGATAAGAAAGTTTTGGAGTTGTTTGATTTGATGGTTTCGTTGAATAGTTTTGAGCTGCGTCCTGATGCTGTTAGTTTAGTTAACGTACTTCCAGCTTGTGGTTCTTTAGGGGCGTGGAAACGAGGAAAACAACTTCAGGGTTATGCGATACGGAGATGTTTGCATGAGGACGTTTTTGTAGGAAATGCAATTGTGGATATGTATGCGAAGTGTAAGCGTTTGGATGATGCTAACAAGATTTTTGAGCTAATGGAGGTGAAAGATGTGGTTTCTTGGAATGCATTGGTCACTGGGTACTCTCAGATTGGAAGATTTGATGAGGCTTTGGGACTGTTTGAGAGAATGAGGGAAGAAAAGATTGATTTGAATGTCGTAACATGGAGTGCTGTGATTTCAGGGTATGCACAGAGGGATTTAGGCTATGAAGCACTCAATATCTTTAAGGAGATGAGGCTTTCTGGGGAAGAGCCAAACGTGATCACTCTTGTTTCTGTGCTTTCAGGTTGTGCTGCTATTGGAGCACTGCGCCAAGGGAAGGAAACTCATTGCTATGCCATTAAACAAATGTTGAGTTTGGAAGGCAGCAATACTGAGGAGGATCTCATGGTGACTAATGCTCTGATTGACATGTATGCAAAGTGCAAGGAGATGAAAATTGCTCAGGCCATGTTTGATGATATTGACAGGAGAGATAGGAATGTTGTAACATGGACAGTCATGATTGGTGGATATGCCCAGCATGGTGATGCAAATGATGCTTTAGAACTTTTTTCAGCCATGCTGAAGGATGAGTACTCTGTAATCCCAAATGCATATACTATATCTTGTGCTCTGGTGGCTTGCGCTCGTCTGTCTAGTCTTAGGATTGGTAGGCAAATTCATGCATATGTGTTACGACAAGGGTATGAACCTACTATAGTCTTTGTGGCTAACTGTCTCATTGACATGTATTCCAAATCTGGAGATGTTGATGCAGCTAGACTTGTGTTTGATAACATGAGCCAGAGGAATACTGTCTCATGGACATCCCTGATGACTGGCTATGGAATGCATGGTCGAGGGGAGGAGGCTCTCCAAGTGTTTAACGTAATGAGAGGAGAAGGTCTGCCCATAGATGGTGTAACTTTTCTTGTTGTGCTATATGCTTGTAGCCACTCTGGAATGGTTGACGAGGGTATGAATTACTTCAACCATATGAAGGGGGATTTTGGAGTTATTCCTGGGGCTGAACACTACGCTTGCATGATTGATATTTTGGGTCGTGCTGGTCGACTGGATGAAGCTATGAAGCTCATTGAACGCATGCCAATGGAACCTACCTCAGTAGTATGGGTTGCACTGCTTAGTGCTTGTAGAGTCCATAAAAATGTGGATCTTGCGGAGCATGCTGCTGCAAAGCTGTCAGAATTGGAATCTGAGAATGATGGGACTTATACACTTCTTTCAAATATATATGCTAATGCCAAACGTTGGAAAGATGTGGCCCGGATTAGATCTCTTATGAAACATTCTGGCATAAGGAAGAGACCTGGATGTAGTTGGGTTCAAGGAAAGAAGGAGACTGTTACATTTTTTGTCGGGGACAGATGTCATCCAATGTCTGAAAAGATATATGATCTCCTAGAGGACCTGATTCACCGTATCAAAGCAATGGGCTATGTTCCGGAGACAAGTTTTGCGCTTCATGATGTAGATGATGAGGAGAAAGGTGATCTTCTTATTGAACATAGTGAAAAGTTGGCCCTTGCTTATGGCATTCTCACATCAGCTCCTGGAGTGCCTATTAGAATAACCAAGAACCTGCGAGTTTGTGGAGACTGTCATACTGCAATGACATACATCTCCAAAATCATTGAACATGAAATTATATTGAGGGACTCAAGTCGCTTTCATCATATCAAGAATGGATCTTGCTCTTGTAGAGGGTTTTGGTAGAAAGTTTTGTTCTTGTGGAACATTTGGATGGTATACGAAAAAGAAAGTCCTCTTGGAAATGAAGTAGAAGTTCATAAATAAATCATTGGACTGTGGATTTGGAACACTTCTGCTTTCCAGAAGAGTGACACAGTGAGTGCAACAACATGGCAGCAAGAGTACAGAATGGGGAATTTTCTTTTTAATGGTACTCCCTTTTCATTAAGGTAAGCTAATTATCGTGGTTTTTCTGTATTCTAAAAGTTCTTCTCCATTAATGAACAGGAAGCAGCAAGATTTTGTCCTGCAGATTGGGTTTTAAACCTATCATTCAGAAGAATCCTTCTGCAAGTGAGGTCTAGAATTGCAGCATAATATTCTATTTCCTTCCTGTCTACAGCTGGATGTGTTGAAAGTCTGCAATGCAAAGAAGGTAATGTAAAGAAGCTTTAAGATATTGCCTAATAAGGTGAGAAGTAATTCATGTGTGTGCACTCTTTTTCTCAATGCTTCCTCTGCCAACTTCATTGAATAAAATTATACTTGGATATTAGCATCACTCTGTGATGTTATAATGTTGGGTCAGACATCAGAACGAGCTATTCTTAGTGGGAATGCTTAAATAGAGCTTCTTTTTTTTTTTGAACATTGGTAAAGTATGCTTAATTAGAGCTTATGGTGATGAAATTACCAAACTGAAATGGTCAATTAGAATACTGCTGAGATACTCGCAGGAAATGTATAAGAGAAGACAGAATTTTTCTTTTCTCAAAGTTATTGTCACATCAAATTTACCTTTAGTCAGGTGGTTTCTTAACGCATCAAACACCATGATTGCAGACATCTACATGTATAAGGATGTATTCATGTGCATCTATACACGGAACGTATTAGTTTATTACACTTAACTCTTTCCTCAAACAGTATACTATACCGATTTATTGTTTAAGGTGTACAATTGTATCTGTATGCTATATTATTAACAAGGCATTGTCAAAATCCATTAGTTGCTTGATGCTGCTCAGAGTGAATCTCTTCCATAAAGCCCTTACCTTGGTTGTAATCCTTACTTTGTGCAAAAGAAATATCTTTTTCACTTTGGGTACAAATTTTTCTTGTATGGTGCAAAGGGAGAGCCCTTTCGAACATTCTCTCACACACTAGTGCACTCGCACATGAACACAAAAGTGAACAAAGAGGATTGTTGGGGTTGTTTAGCAAAGATGGAGCATGATCTTGGATGGTTTGCTTAGCAGCTTCAAATGTTCATGGGTTGATTGATATGGACGAGTAACTATTGAGCAAATCTGGTCTATCTTTTTGAATGCAAAATGATTTGGATAGATATTCATTAGTAGTATCGCAACCCTTACAAAATGTTCTAATAATGAAGATGTAGACTTAAGCTTTATGTCACACATCGGTTCTCTGTCATTAGTTAATTCTTTTCTGTTAATTTCCATTTATCCCAATAGTTACTTATCTTCCAGATTAAAAACATGCACTTATCCCAAATTCCCCATGGTTGCCAAGATCATCCATTATTCCCTCAAGGCTGGTGGCAACATCTGAGAAAGGACTTATTCTAGACAAATAGGCTATATGGTGTCTTGTAGATCATGCTTACCCTGCAATTTCAAAAGCTTGGAAGCCTACTTGTAGTCTATTTTTGAAAGCCTCAGGGTAATACTTCTATAAGCTTGTAATATTATGGGTACTACCAACTTTGTTTGTAGAACTTCCAAGTTTCACATCGAGATTTGATTTGACAGAGACGAAAAGGTTGAAGCATTTGGGTGGCTTTTCAGCAAGAGCTTAGGAGCTCAGAACACCTTGTACAAATCATCTTTTTGACATGCATATGGAAGACTAGCAATTCCTTATATTTCTATGCAAAAAAGTACACACTCCTGGAAGATATTCTTTTTTTAAGACAAAATGTAATACTGTATCTATCTGAAAAGTCTGAAGCATATGCTTTTTCAATTTTTTCTTTTCATTAATACAATTTTCCTACTGTTGTTTTTCCAGTTCAACTGGACTATGCACATGCCAAGATTTGAATAACAAATTCAGATGTTTCCTTGAAAGTGTTCTAGAGATGTTCTAACACCACCAAGGGTTGTGGTAGGATATTCTCTCTTAACCATAGGTCTTGGTTTGAGCCTCGCAAATAGAAGAAAAAATATTGGTGGGAGCACTTCCCTTTTAATGTGTTTTATGCTTTATGAATCAGGATTAGTCAAGAGGTCCGATAAGGCTGAGAAACCAAAAGAAATTCCTACATATGCTCACTAAAGCATATACTAATTATTATTCTATTCATCTTTAGACTTTAGTTACCAAGGCAAATTAACAAACTTTTAACACAGTACATACGGAACTTTCTAGGCTTGAGAAAATAATTGAATATTCCAGATGTGGGGAAATAGGACCTCCACTTGAAGCAATTGAAGGAAAAACTATAAAATAAAAATGAATCGGTTTTCCCAAATGAGACTACTGAATTACTCAATTGTCACTTTTTAGTTGTTTCCAATTTTTGTTCGGCAACAATTTACGAAATAATAAAATGGGTCCTTTTTTTGTGTGTAAACACAGTAAGCAATGATGAAACCATTTAATACCAGAAACAGTAATTATATAAAATAAAGTATTTAAATTATATATATCGATACTGTATTTATTTGCTCTATCAGTATACTGATATGTGATAGTAGGTCCACTTATAATTACTTTATAAGTATCTAATTATGTAAACATTTTTTACAAGTATATTATTCTTAATTTTGTAAATGATGCTGAACTTTCCTTTGGACATATTATGTCCATAATGAAATAATATATGACAGTTTTTGAGTGAAAAAAAAAATCTTAATTTTTTACTACAAATTTCATTTTCCCTCCTAAAAAGATTAGGAAAAAGAAAAATTTGTGTGGAAAATGATTAGGTCAACCAGTCAGCACTCAGCATGGCATGTGAATAATTAAAAACTCTTCATTTTACCAGTCCTAACAAAAACCGAACATTTGATGCAACAACCAAAGTTTATTCTGATTATGTTCCACTTATATATAACTCAGTCCACTTTTTAGAATCTTATGCATTATTAATTAGTAATACATAATTGTTCTAATTCTGTAACATTTAAAGTAAAATAAAATAAAATACATTGGTACTTTTAATTTCTTGTGCTCTCAAAAGTCTATATATATATATTCTTGGACCTTGTTATTAACGTGTGTCTCCCTCGTATCAACCGATTCCTCTGAAGAACTTATATGTTTAATGTTCTAGCTCTCTTAATTATCACTTGAAATTGGGATGGTTACCTTAAATTTGTCAAAGGCTGTCTTGCATTTCTGCTTTGTTTAACTGAGATATGGATCCTTCACTAAGCCCTGTGTCCATTCATTATGCTATTAAGGTAAGTGTGCACCACACCCTTAATTTTTGTTTTGAAAAAAATCAAACACATTGGCCATAAGGTGGTCTATCACCTCTGTTGGGGAGAATCACTCCATCTACCCTCCTGAGGAGTTTGGTTTCAAATCCCGGTTATTATTGCTCCTAGCAAAATATATGCATCAACCATTTTATAAAGTATGTGTCCGGAATACGTATTTATACTTTCTCTCAATAATAGAAGAATTGCTTCTATTACTGCTAAAAAACTACTTTTGATTTTGGGCCAAGCACCTCAAATCTCCAAAAAATATATTCTTCCATTAAGAAAAAAGATTTTGATTTCCCAAAAGTTTGGTCAAACGAACTACAATGATTTAAAACAGTATTTGAAACTCCAGCTACTTCAGTTTCAAAAGCTAAAATTGGCTGTGTATAATGTCTTTACATGATCCCCATCCACCATGGGTGGGACAATTTTAAATGTGTTTACACACACTAATTATGTCGCTCAGACTCTTCAAAAATGACGACGGATACATGCCCAATCCTCCATTTTTAGAGGATCCAACATCAGTTTTGGAGAGTGGAGCAACATAGTTCAGCACTATGCTATAAGTAATACTCATGTTTTAATCCTATGTGTGTGGTGAAATTTTGTAGAAAGAAACATGGAGACATACGGTTGTTCTATCGTTTCAAAGCCTCGGAGTAGTATATGGTCGATTAAGTACTACTCCGTTGTATGCATTCGGTTCGATTGATCCTTGCCATATCAAATCAGGACAGCAGATATATGAACTCTTCTCCTTTGTTTTTTGGACTTTAACCATCATTCCCTTGTTGAAATATGCCTTTATTGTCTTCAAGGCTGATGATAACGGAGAAGGTACATAACGAAAAAATCTAGCTATCATTGATATATACGTTCAAATCGTATTAATAGTTAGTGATTCGTTGTAGGTGGTACATTTGCTTTGTATTCCCTACTTTGTAGGCGTGCCAATGTAGGTCTTCTCCCGAGTGATACAAGTGCTACGGAGTTTATGCATCAAGAGGAAGGAACCCCTTCTAATGTGAAGGTGGAATCAAGGGCAAGAAGAGCGATTGGAAGATATAAAAGCAGTCACTACTTGCTCTTACTTTTGGCTTTGCTTGGTTCCTGTTTGATAATCTGTGATGGGATTTTTACCCCTGCTCTTTCGGGTTAGTCTTACTTCTCACTTTTTGGGCATTTTACTGATCATTACTTACTACTTTCACATGATTAGGATCAGGTTTTGAATGTTATTTTCTGTTTCAGTTTATTCAGCAACGTCAAATCTGAGACGTTCCTTGTCAAAATTGGCACCCCGATGTAAGAATTGTATTACTACTATTACTTAACATGCAAGATATTTTATACAACTTTGTAGCTGATTTTCTTTATACAACTTTTATCAGTTACCTCTTCAGAAAATGCAAGACAATCTGTTGACAAGTATTTAAAGAGATGTAAGATTCCTAACTTGTACCTTTCTGTTTTGGATAATGAAATAGCACTAATATATTTTAGATTATGTGAAATGACACTTTCAGTTATACCAGTTCCAGTAGCTTGTGCCATCTTGGTTTGCCTTTTCATGCTGCAGCGGTATGGAACCAACAGAA